ATACATAGATGCTCTTATGATCGATTAATGTTAACGCACAATAGCGATTACTGGCACGTGGAAGTATCCTTCAAGAATTATTGCCTGAAATCGATACTTAAAAATAACACAATGCATTATAATAATTCGTTTCTAGCTTGATTACATCTATCAAAATATAAGATATATATCGTACAATATTTACGTTTCGTTTTCATCTAAGATTATTTACTTTATTATTAGATTAAATTCCTTGAATGATTATACTTGCAAGACGATATTGATCAAATCGTTACATTGTCAGAATTTGGAGATAAGATTACAATTGATGTGATACTACTTTTCTGTTGAATCATCTGCAATTACTAGGAATTAATGAAGCACCTATTCATACCTAAATATATATGATCTTGATAGAGGAAGATGACTCTTATACTTTCAGCGTTTCGCAAATATGAATTATTGCATTGATAAACTTTTAATAGTGGAAACTTCCAACACGTGATAATGAAATTAATTCTCTAACTTTATCGATAACGTATTATCAATACATGTGCTTTACTATAGTACTGACATTGGCCTAGAGTACAAAATTGAACATAGTATAGAGTGCCAAGTTGTATGTTGCATGGTCATTCTACTCTATTAATATATTAACCACGTGTAGGATTAAGTATCGCAATGCGGCAATGTATTCTACGAACATAATTCTGCTCTCGGTACATTGATCTCGTAGGGACGAAACAAAAATGCGTATTTACAAAGTTTTATTTACATTAAAATGTATAGAGTTTTTACAACGTCGAATAAAATACAAAATATCGCATATACAGTACAATAAATGCTATTAAAAATTGAGCTCAACGAGAGAATGCAAACTCTGTTTTGGCCGACCAGTATTGTAATTGGTCCACTCGTGAGCAACGGCATTGTTTAAATTGCACCACAATTAATATGAATACATTGCTCACATGTATTCTCATATCACAAAATCTCTAAACATTTCAGAATATACATAGCTACACGTTTCTCATTACATGCACTGAATATTATTCTATTTGTTATATTTTAAGTACTTATTTTATTGAAATATTATAATTATGCAGACTCGAACAAATTTGTTGAAACCAAATAAATCGAAATACTGAGACAAAATGCATTGCGTAAAATTAAGTATAATATTACGCATTATTTAATATACAATAATTGTGTTTGTTGAGATTATTTATGATTTTTGTTTGTTGAGATTACTTGCGACTTTGTCGATTTTATTTGGTACATAAAATAAATGTATAAATTGCGTATAGATGTATTTATATATAAATGTATAAACGTATAAAATAAATGCATTATTCAAATGGAATTGTGCCATAAATTGATCGTTAATAATATAAATCATATAAATATACAAACACGATAAAGTTTTATATTTTTAAATATACATATTATTCATTTAAGGCACACAGTATAAAATAACAGTAGAAAATAGTATTGACTTTATTGTTCAATGAACAAGCGAAAGTTAAAGACATGGAAGTTCTCCATAATTTATGAAATATCAACAATTTATATTCTTCAAAATAAAATTTTATCTTTTTAAGATATTATGAATATTAGAATATAGTATTTAACAGAAATTAAAAAGCCGAATCATTAATTGATAAATTTAATACTTGTGGTTTATTTAAACACAAAGTATTTTCTTTAAATAATAAAAAATGAATATCAAAACACAAATTAATAAATTTTCTAATTATTTCTAATTTCTCCTAGTTTCATTATTTAATATAAATTTGTGTATTTTTATAGTATTTACAATAAACTTTTTGATCATTAAAAATGAACAATTTTTTTGCTATTTTTTTAACACAATTGCATTGATATTTACAAAAATTATGTATATAATATTAAAATATATTTCATATTGCAATAATACTTATGTAAAATTATGCTATATGTATGTGTTTTACGAATTAAAGAATATAATTGTTTAAAGTATACAAAAAGGACTATTTGTACAAAGAATAAGCAAAATAAAATTTTTAAACTATGTATAGCAATTACATTTTAAATATCTGTCCAAAAATTGTATTTTATATAAATTCAGTATAAAAAGTGCAGTCAAAACTATTGGAACTATTGTTTTCTTTGTATAATTGTACAAATAAGAGATCTTATAATTTTCTGATAAATGCAAATGGCAGTGATGGTATTAGGACATTGTTAAACAGTTTACATGTTTCCTATTTATAGTCTTGAGCATCAGTCAATTAAATTGTATACTGTAATAAAAATTTAACGTAATCGCAATTATAATTGCCAGCATTATTCAAATTATTTTCTGTAAATATGTCTTATTTCACTCATTTGTCATATCACTCGTTTATAAAACTCAATGCATTGAGCTTATATCAAATTTTTACTTACACGCAAGTAAAATTTTTATATTATTTTAAGAAATTAATTAAGAAATTTTTAGATAAACTTAATATTATAAAAATATTGAATTAAAACAATTATTATTAATCGTACCCACATAATGTGAAAGTACTAATAGAGCCATATATATCAACTGTGACAAATTTCGTAAAATCGGCAGATATGCATACTTTAGCGAAAAAATTTGAAGGTAACTCAACAACAGCTAGTAATGCTGGCTTGTTGGAATCTTTACTCTCTTTGGATTTCCAAAACTTAGTTACTTTATCTATATAGTTAGTATCTTCACTTTCTACTTGATTTTGCATATTGCAAATACATGAGTCTATGCTTTGACTAGGAGTCATATATGGAGAAATATTTTCTTCTATACCAACGGAAGGAGTACTGATACTGCGGTTCATTCGTACTAATGGCCATTTCGGTTTACGTATATATAAAGCTAAAGTAACGTTCCACCAAACTAATTCATCTGAACTTACAGAAAGCAAAATTGGAACCTTAATTACAGACGGAGCCCAACATAATTGAGTAACGGAACTCATATGAAAGCATAATTTGCTTATCTCGTCAAATGTTGATATATCAATTACCTGGAAATTAATAACATTATAATTTCATCTATAACTTCATATATATAAAACCATCGAAGTAGGTTATAATAAAAACTTACAGAAATATCTCCGTTTTCGAAACCTATAGCTAAATATTTCTCATCTTGAGAAATTTCACAACACGATAATTTCTGGGTATATCTTCTTCTAAAATATTCCATTATTTTGATGTATGCTGGCAGTGATATTGTATTCTTTTGTAATTTAAATAAAACAACATCTCCATTCTCATTTAATACAGCTAGAAAACTTCCGTGGTAACTTAAACAACTATAAGTACTAATTATATCTGAATTTCCGACTGTTACTCTGTCTACTCGTAACCAATTTGTACCATTAATATTCCAAATTATAATTATACCATTCTTAGTCACTGTTGCTACACTTTCTTGATTGAGCTTATGAATTGCAATAACATAACCTGCATTTTCAATTAAATATGTTAATTCTATATTTTCCCACACCTGTAAAATATCATATATAAATTAATTCAGTAATATTTATGAATGTTTTGTTAATATAATAAAATTTCTTGTACTTTTAAGTTATTATCTGTTCCTCTGCAGACGAGTATGTTATTACTGTGATCTCTTTTTATGTCCAAAATTTTGACTAATTCCACGTTAGATGGAAAATTTAACACACATATACCTTTTTTGTTTTCTAAATCAAATATATTAACAATGCCATTATCAGTGACATAAATTACTTTCTCTCCATGAAGAATTAAATTGTTTATTTTTCCATTAATTGGTTCAGTTTCTGCTATTTTCTTATCATTGACTAATGCAATAATAGTATTTGAAAGCGTTTCAGTAACAATGGTATCTGAAACACCACCAAAATTCTGTACTTTTGCATCAAATAAAGGTTTTCTTATTGCAATATTGGTTCCTTCCACTGGAAGTTTCCATTTATGCAGTAATCGGTTTTCACTGGCACAAATAATGTGATGTCCTTCCTCTTTTAGCCAATATGTATCCAAGGACGAAACACGGCTCTTATAAGTAGCTATTGGTTGAACTCCAACGTCTATATTCCATATATTTATAAAACCACCAGAATCAGCCAAAACTATGTACTGACCATCATTAGTTAAACTGGCACAAACATAATTAGTTTTTCTATTTTCAATGCTTGCTCTTATTTGCTTACTATAACTATGCATATGGTTATTACTTGATCTAAACCATTTCACATATACAGCTTTTTCTTCAGTGACAATGAATAAAGAATTATTTTGTCCTGGCACACTGCGGAAGAAGATAATGTTCCTTTCTTGTAGGTCTGGATTGTATTGCGTAATATATTTATACTCTTTGCCATATTTACAATACGATACTAGAACACCATTTATTTCATCTATTATATGTAGTAGATTGCTTCCCATTGTAAATACTATATTTTTAAGATTACTGAAAAAAATTAATATTTTTATTTCTTCAAATATCACGGTGTATAAACAATTAATTTTGGTAAACTTACATTTGAGAATTATGACTATGATCTGATAATATGTTTCCATAGCGATCCCAAATCTAAAAAGGAAAATCTTATTTTATTTAATAAATTATAACTATATTGATAAAGTTTAATTTAATTTTTATTTATACCCTTATTCTTCCTTTATTTGTACAAGCTGCAACAGAACTACTATCATGTGCAAATGTCATGTCCAGTATAATTTCACCAGGAACAGAAAACATTACTGAACTATCATCATGTGGAATTTTACTTGTGAAAATTCCACTCCAAAAGGATTGCTTTTGTCTTGGACTTAATGGAATATTTTTTTCTTCATAATTTTCATCAGTAAAAAGTTTGAAAAGCTTTACTATACCATGATCATCTAACGATAAAAAACAATCTCCTTCGTTAGATATAATAATCTTTTTTATAGAACAATTCTTATCATGTCCAGTAAAAATTCTTTGTCTTTTGTAAAAGCTATCCCATAAAAATATTTCGCCTGTTTCGTTTCCAATTAATATTAGATTTGGATCATGTGTAAAACATAACGTGTGCACTTCCGTTGTCATTTCTTCGCTCGATGGCATATCCATCTGCCTTAATTTTTTATTATGAAATATATACAGGTATTTAGATCTTTCTTTTGCAAGTTGAATAGCAGTATCTTTAACATATCCCTCATAAGGATGACTCATGGCAATTTGTACTATATCCAAACACTTTTTACGTCTATGTTCTGCTATAATGCTTGATTGTTCTCCTAAAAATTTTTCCAAGTCTGAAAAATGCATTTCATATACTTGATCATTATTTTTGGTAATATATTTTTTATAATTGTTCAAGTCGATCAATAAATTATTTAAGCCACTATGAATTATCGCTTCCTGAATGAAATTAAAATCTAAATATATATTCGGAAATTCATCATATAATTGTGCTTGTTCCAAGTGATATCCAATATACGAATATATGTAATTATCTGCTGGTAATTTCGAAAAATTACCATTACAATATTTACGATATTTTTCAATCAGTGATCTGTGCATTTGAATTAATTCATCTTGTGAAAATTTTTTTCTTAAGTGACACAGTAGTAAATCATGAACACCATAAATGTAACTACGTAATTCACTATTCCATTGTTTTGCCGCAAGTGATTTATGACATAAATCAAGCATCATTTCTTCGACTTGAAATGGACATCCTCCCCACAGAATTTCTAATGTCTATAAAAAGTATAAAATAAAATAATAACATATACATATATACTTGAATATATTTCACAAATTTAAAATAATGTAAGTCTCGATAATTTATTACCTGTGGTGTTATGTTAACATCCTCTCTAAAAATAACTAATTCTTCATAACGTTTTTTCATATCGGAAGGTAACTGATTTATGCACATATTAAAAATAGCTTCTTGCTTTTCCCAGAATCTTTTAATTACTCTAAAAAGCACATGAAACACTTTTAATAATTATTCCGACATAAAATTGTTTAAATATATACACTTATATATTTGAAATATTACTGATTTTTTTCATCCTTATTTCTTAATGAATTCAAGTAATATTTCCATCTATTTGAATGCAATTTCATGTCATGTTTAAATTCCTCAAATTGTGCAGAAAACATTGCTATTAACAAAGGCATCCCTTTACATTCTTCATGAATTCGTTTTGCTTCTAAAGGAAGTTTTTCTACTTCCGTTTCTAATACTTTAGCAAATAGACCTAAAGTTTCTGCCTCAGTAAATCCATCATTCATCTGTAAAGAAATAGTCTCTACAATAATTAATTTATTAGAACATGTACATATTATACATAGTTAATATGATAGAAATAATAATTTACCTCTATAACAAGTGGTCTTTTTTCCCACACAACGTCAAGATCGGCTGTAATTACTAATGTTTTACATTCAAAATCAAATGTTTCAATTATTTTTTTATGACAAACATCATCCAAAATTAACAGAGCATTACAATGCTTTCCTTTACTAAAGTAATTTTGCAAGAAATGAATTAATGAGTCTTTTAAAGGTTCTGGTTTGTATTCTGGCAATATCTCCAAATTTCTAACAAGATGATAAAGTTTGTTAAGTTGAATTAATATGTCTTCATCGACCGAACGTTCATATCCAAATTTGATCCAATATACTTTATTCTGAAAGAAATATAATAACGTATTTATATCACAAATGAAAATTGCATTCACAATTTTCTAATACAATACAACTTACATAAAATATATTTTTTATAAATTTACAGTCCTTTAATGTACTAGCTGTTAAAGATGATTTACCAAAACCTTTCATACCATGTAGTACAATATATTCATTTGGTTGTAATCGTTCCAAATAATTTTGTAACTGTTTCATCTAAAATTAAGATCTATTAATCTAGTCTGATTTCATGTAACAACTATGGATAATTAATGACAGTAGTATTAACAACATGATAAATTTTGTATATCTAATAATTTTTGTTTCCAAACTTACATGATTGATTTCCATAAGTATGCATATATAATAAAAAAATATCACAATTATCAGCAAACCTTATGTCTAAAATTTTAATAATATATATACATACTTTTTTCTCTCTCACAACAGTTAATGGCGAAATTGGGGGAAGAGTGGGTGAATCCATATGCTTTATGTCGCAAAATGATTTCCCACAGTCTTCAAGTTTATCCATATATTCACTCAACCATTCATAATGATGGCTCAAAGCTTGTCGAAAAGCATCAAATGCATATGGGCCACAACTAAAAGAAAAGAAAATGATAAGACAAAACAAAAATTTAATTTCATATATATAAATATCATACCTTGGAAGTATATCCAATAAAATTTCAGCTTGTTGCTGCTTAGATGCACCATTTTCAATTAGTGCTATTTGCTGCTCTGTTAATATATATTCGGATTGTAATGGTTTTATAATACCATTATGCACATCCATGTCATTAACTATATCTTTCCGCAACTTTCTAAGAATGTGTTGATGTAATTCATCCATTTTTATATTTTTGATGTATAATATACCATGTCACATTTGTTTTGCTATTTAATAAAATTATTATCTACAAAAAAAGAAAGAAATAAAACTTTCATTCTAATAAAAAAATTTTCAGATAAGGAGCGTACACACAGAACATCATTTCTTGATTCTGAATATAGAATTTCAAGGTTTTTATGCCAGATAAATCTTGTCAGATATATAAAAAAGTTTGTCACTTTTCTACTTTATATTTTGAATAATAAATATAATTAACAGAACAGGTATTTAATTAATCACTCTTAAAACGCTTTTGTACAGTAAATGTTTATACTTTATTCATGAAAATATTATCTTAAAAGAATTTACAAACGAGAAACTATATTATTATATACATGAAATACACAAACATTACTACATGTACATATGTATACACTTTAAAGTTTCTTTTTAAAAATTATCTCGTTGTAAATTTATTCTTCTATATATCTTGTGAAAATGATGTTAAGAAATCAATTGTTTAACATTTGTAATCTTTTTAACTTTATAAAATACGGGAGCATTTCGGTCAATGACTCCAAAATTATATTAAAATACAAGCTCGTGATAATTTAAAAATTTTCAGAAATAACGTCCCACTAAATGTTACCTTATTAAAGTCGTTGGTACTCAAAATATGCAATATTTCACCTTTTTATGCAGCCTTTGTTTGATAAACTAAATAATTGTTCTACTAGTTAGCGTAAACTCATCTCACCACGTAGAATCAACTGACACAACTCCCGCTTGCCTGAGTCAAGTAGCGTTGTTGCCATTGTTACCACTTGTCACTATTGCCAAATCTACAAATTACAAATCACACTTGTATTTCATTGGTTGTTGGTATCATAAGATATCAATTCTACTGAAAAAGATCTCTTGAAAGAAGACTTCTCTAAACAAGAAGATATTACAATACCAAAAAATATAAATAAAATTATAAAAGAATTGTCAAGAACGACCAGTACTAGTGTTTTCCTCTAAATTAAATACTGTAACACGTTATTTTATTCAGATATAAAAAAATTACTAAATTAGATTAACTATTAAATACATAATTTTCGTATTAGTGTAAAATAAATACAATTCTGAATATTACAAAATATTCATTACTAACTAAAAGAAAAATTAGATAGTACAAAAATGAAGCACTGCGATGGCCGGGAATCGAACCCGGGTCAACTGCTTGGAAGGCAACTATGCTGACCATTACACCACCATCGCAGTTTGAATATTGGTAATTTCAAACAGTATAAATATCTGTTTGATTGTATAAAATAAATTTTCTTCGGAACCAAAAAATAAGTACTGCGATGGCCGGGAATCGAACCCGGATCAACTGCTTGGAAGGCAACTATGCTGACCATTACACCACCATCGCAGTTTTGTAACTGAACGTTCTGAATATGAGAAACCCCATAAGTTTAATAATATAAATTAAAATTTTATTTAAAAAATAAAAATAATTCCTCTGCGATGGCCGGGAATCGAACCCGGATCAACTGCTTGGAAGGCAACTATGCTTACCATTACACCACCATCGCAGTTGAAATTTCATTATTTTAACAAAAAGACAACAATTGGATAAAGAAATTAAAGTTTAGAAAGAAAAAAATACAATAAATTTTGAAAATAAAAATAAAGCCCCTGCGATGGCCGGGAATCGAACCCGGATCAACTGCTTGGAAGGCAACTATGCTCACCATTACACCACCATCGCAGTTGATGTACTAATTTCACATGGAGAGTCTAGTGTCGCCATGTTGGAAAATTTTGTTAAATTTTTTGTTTTTTAAATTTTACAATTAAATAAACAACTATGATGATTTATATGTTCTTTCAATTTCACTTTAATTTATACTTTTTTTTT